TTTCTTATGCAACTTCTTGTTTTTATGAAGTTTCTGGTTTTTTCACTGTTTTTATTGTATCCTCATTTTTTCTTTCATACTCTTCATCCAGTCAGATGTTCTTTCAAAGAAACTTCCCTTCAGAGGCACTTCATCCTCTTGACTCGGTTTGGATTTGTTCTCCAGACTTGCTCTGTGGGTATTATCTTGAGACTTCCCTTGACTGGTTTGCTCTGTTAGAACCTCTGCTCTCCCAGGATCATCATTCACCCTCTTTTTCTTTGGTTTACTCCTTTGTTTTCCTGGATCACATCTTCAAATAACTTACTTAGAAAGAGTGTTACTGTTTAATTTTTTTTTAGTTTTCTTATGTTTTAAAATGCTTTTTCTACCTCTGTGATTGGTTTTAGTTAGGTTGGGTATAGAATTCTAGTTTGAAAATCATTTTCCCTCAGAACTTTGAAGGCATTTGCTTTGTTGCCTCTGAGAATTCAGTATTCCATCCCTTCTACTGAATCTTTTAATTAAAAAAAAAAAAAGTATTTAAAAAATTTGAGAGCTTTTTCCCGTGCTGTCTTTTTCTTCCTTCCAAGTATCCCGGCCTTGTTGTAATGGGTGTATATTACCTTGAGTCTCAAGCTATGTCAGCGAGGCCTTCCTTGAGAACCCTCTGTAAATGAGCCTTCCGCATCAGTCCCCTCCTTGCCAGGGCTCTCTGCACTCCAGGCCTTTTGCACATTCTGTTCTCTCTTTCTTGGTCTACCCTTATGCCTTTGATCTAAACTAGAGGTACTTTTGTTGTAATTTGATTATGCTTATTGAGTAAGTAGTTTGATATTCAGATCTGTTGCTCAGATGGGAGGTCCATATAAGAGAGTTAATTAGGGAGTCATCAGTATATAGGTGGTATTTTAAGATCATGAGATGGAGTAGAATCACCAGGAAAAGAATTTGTAATAAGAAAAAAGGCCCAGGACCTAGGTCTGAAGCTTCTGACGAGTAGAAGCAGAGAGAGAAAGAGGAGCCAGCAAAGGAGAGGCACAGAGGACCGCTGCTGAGCCAAGAGACAAACTAAGAGAGTGGGACATCAGAAGCATGCTTCAGAAAGGAAGGAATTGTACCAGCTCTGCTGAGAGGATTGATTATGTTCGTTGTGTTGGTCCACATGGAGGTCATCAGTGGCCTCAGCAGACAGGGTTTTGGTTGAGTAATGGCAGTGGGTAGAGGAGTAAATGACAGGGGAAGGGAAGCTAATCAGATATTAGCTGGAGGACGATGTGGACTCCAGATTTCTTTCTTTAAAATATCTTATTTTTAAACAATCTCTACACCCAACATGGGGCTCGAACTCACAACCGCAGGATCAAGAGTCACGTGCTCTACTGACTGAGCCAGTCTGGTGCCCCTGATGTTTTCTTTTCTTTTCTTTTTTTTTTTTTTTGTAATTGAAGAGAGTTAATCTTGTTTAAATGCCCACCAGAAGGATCCAGTGGAAAGGAAGTGCTATTTCAATAAGCCATAGGTATATTGGAGACATTGAATGGGTTAAATAGGTATGTTGGAGGGGGGAAAAAAAAACCCAAAGTGAAAAGGTTGGATATGTTGATTTGGATGCTATTATGCCTGACCCTGAAAGCCCAGGGAAGAAGTTTGACATTGATGCAGCAGGCAGGAATGCTTACAGATTCTGGAACAGAACAGCGAGCAAGTTATTTAAGGGCTATTGGTCCATTACGTCTCCAAGCTCGGAGAGACTGGCATCAGTAGGACCTGTGAGCACAGTTCAGAAATTCAGACAGAACATTCTTAAAGACCTGGACTGGATCCATACCAAAAGGAAAACAAAGGAAAAATATGGAAACATTTCCAGAACCAGTTAGCAGGTTTTAGGGACTGTGACTGGTTGGTTACCAGAAAAGAAAGGGGGGAGGACATTTTAAATAAGTTTTTCTTTTAAAGATTTTGTTTATTTGGGAGTGAGTGAGAGAGAGAGAGAGCACAAGCAGGGGGAGGAGCAGAGTGAGAGGGAGAAGGCAGGGACCCCAGGAACCTGAGATCATGACCTGAGCCGAAGGCAGCCGCTTAACGGACTGAGCCACCCAGGCGCCCCTCATTTGGCATTTTAAAATCTAACATATCAAACATGTTTTTTTAAATCATATTAGTCTTCCCAATCTTGAGGTGGAGCTTGCTTTTATTTTAACTTCATGCAGTTAGACAGCTAGCCTCCGTAGGCACAAGTGATGGTCTGGTGGGAGAATGGGGAAAAGACCCAAGAAGTAGGAGTAGCAGCCGAGCCGTCCCTGCTCTATCGGCCCCAGGCTTCTGGCCACCTCTGTGCCCCCCTTGCCATGGTATATGTGTCAGGTGGTGTGCCCTGTTTCAGGGTTCCAGGATGTATTGCTCAGCAGTGAGGCTTCTTCACTCACAGTACTTGAGGTGGATTCCAAGTAGTAGAACCTTCTGATTACATTCTGAGCGATAGGACTCGCCGTCCATGCCCATGACGTGGGACGGCTGCACTGCAGATCCGCACGGATCGGGGGTGAGCCACCGTGCACTAATCTTAGTCTGGTCTGACAGTGAATTTTCGCAACCCTCTACACTTAACCTCTGGTAATTTCAGTTTTGGAAATGATGTGTACAGAACTGGGAAGAGCCTTTTAAAAAAAGCTTAGGAAATCACTAATACTAGTGACTTCCTTCGGTGCCGATGAGGTGTCAGAACGGGTTAAAAAAAACGAACTGAGGTAACAAATACGACTGGATTGTGTGTCTCATAATACACAGCTGGATGTATTTCACAAATGTATTTGGACATTAAAAATAATTCCTCAGAGTTAGGTAAGGTGCAAGTAGTACACCTATGCGGGGGATAAACTGAGATTTGGCAGCAGAAGGGAGGAGTTCCCCTTGGGCTGGAAGTGATGACAGAGTTGATCTGCTGTTCCGTTTGAGCCCTGCCCATCTTCGGAACTGACGAATAGCTGAAAGGAGCCTTCGTTTCAGGGGCTGTATGAGGAATGGCCAGCGGGTCTGTGACGGTCGGTGCTGGACCCTCCCGGCTGCCTGTTCTGACAAAGGTTACGGCAAAACTTGAGTTCATCTTCCATTTTCCGTCGGGGCCCTCGCCAGGATTACTTTATTCTAGAGAACCAGCGTTACTAAAACGTTTTATTGCCGAGTGATTGCTATCTTCATTTTGCAAGAATAATTAAATAGATCTTTTCTTCACCGAGTATTTTCTCCACTAAGTAGGATGCAAGTCAGACACCTAAAAGTACTAAGTGCGTATCATAGTACCCTTAGCTTTCCAGTAACTTAGTTTGAAAGTTACTTTAAAAACTTTAAATACAGTTTTTCTGTACATTAGTATGATAGCTTAGCTTTTACTTCTTTTATCTTTTAAAATTATTTTATTTATTTATTTGAAAGAGAGAGCATGAGCGGGGGTGGGGGGGCAGAGGGAGAGGGAGAAGCAGACTCCCTGCTGAGCTCAGAGCCCAACGACAAGGGGCAGGACTCCATCCCAGGACCCCGAGATTATGACCTGAGCCAAAATCAAGTTGGCTGCCTACCCGACTGAGCCACCCAGGCGCCCCCAGCTTAGCCTTTATGATCAAAGTTTTAAAAAGCACTCGACTGTTAGACACAGCAGTGAATGCCATTGGCCTTCACATCATCACCTCTGATTTCAGGATGCTCAGATCTGCAGGTGCTCCTTAGCAGCGGTCCTGGCAGGGGGCTTAGGGCTCCTGTGCCATGTTGGGCTCTGCTTCTGTCCTGTGGACAGGGGCTGCTCTCAGTCTGTGGGGGCATCCCCCCGCCAGCCCCTACCTTGTGGAGCCCCAGGGATTGGGGACTCGTTCTAGGGTCCTTTGTTATGAGGACCTTCAACCCAACGTGCAGAGTTAGATAAATCATAGCAGTCGGCCTTGATTCATCAAAGGGTCTTTGAGTTTGTCAAGTAGGTCCAAAATTTTCATTTACCCTTTAACCTCTGAGGTGGGTTCATTTCTAGAGCATATAGGAGATCAATGTCTGGGTTTTCACCCCCAGAATTTATTTTAATATTGTAATGTAGGATAGACCAAAATAGAGAACAGTTCTTTACCTTCCATTTCCCATTATAAATACTCTAAATTCTGTGTCATTTCCATACTGTGTAAATCCCGTTAACATTTAAAACTGTGCCATAGATACGTGTAATATGTCCTCACTCCATTTATTCTTGTCTTTCTGAATACAGAGAAGCACACCATTTCCACCTATGATAAAAGCAGTGTGTCACTGGATTAGATTAGTCTTAACTTGGTATTATTTGTGTCTTATGATTTCTTAGTCAAATTTGTGCTCATTCACAAGATGTTGGTGAATTTTTTAAAAAAATGTTTAAGAAATTCAGAATGAACTTGCATTTTGTCAAAAAGCTGTTCAATTGCCAAGGTTATGGTTCAAATGTGTTAAGCTGTGAGTTACAGAAAACCCAATTTAAGGTGACTTGGATAAAGAGTATTTATTGGTTTATGTCATTGGAAGGCCAGCTCTAGGCTAAGTTCCAGGGTTGACTGATTGGGTATCTCCACAGTGCTACTAAAAATTTCGTTTCCTTCTTTCTATACTCTGTATTCTCACCTTCCTCTTGTGATTGCAGCCATTCCCAGACTTATATGATCCCTTACTCATGTGCAGTAATGTTTTAGGAGCTCACCCAGAAACCCTCTCCTGCTGTTCTATTGACTTCGGTTGAGGGGTGTGCCCATGCCTTGAACCAGCAACTGTGGCTTATGAGGAGGAGCTCAGGCTTGGAGTCCAGCTCCCCCAAAGTATAGGGCTGTGGGGGGAGGCACAGAAACTCCAATCAGACCCAAATACTTACGCAGAGCCAGGGGGGAGGGGATGGGATATGAGTTGAGGGCACAGTCACCCTCTTCACTATCCCATGTGAGCTGAAGTCACTTGGGTTTCATTTATAAAAGTGCGTGCCTTGTTTCATTGGTTTCTACTCCTTCTGTCCTTAGGGGCTGTGACTACACCCAAACGGACGGGCATTCCAGCTCCTCGAGAACTTTCAGTAACTGTCTCAAGAGAGAGAACTGTGCCACGCGGTCCCTCCAACCCCAGGAAGTCGGTGTCCAGTCCAGCTTCCTCCAGCACACCCACCCCTACTAAGCACCTGAGGACCACTTCCACGAGACCCAAGCAAGAGCATGAAGGTGGGGAAAAGGCCGTGCTCGAGTCCCAGGTTCGGGAACTTCTGGCAGAAGCCAAAGCGAAAGATAGTGAAATTAACAGGCTTCGAAGTGAACTGAAGAAATGCAAGGGGAAAAGGACTGCAAGCATCGAAGGAGCTGAGGCTTCAGACTCCAATCTAGACGGAACATCCGCCTCGCCCAGTGACTCAGAACCTTTGATAAAAGCTCTTGAGGAGAAGAACAAGAATTTTCAGAAAGAGCTTGCAGATCTCGAAGAGGAAAACCGGGCCTTGAGGGAGAAACTGACTTACCTGGAGCACTCCCCCAATTCCGAGGGAGGCGTGAGTCACACCGGTGAGAGCAGCTGCCCAACATCCATAACTCATGAGTCAAGCTTCGGCAGCCCGACTGGAAATCAGTTGTCAGGTGAAATCGAGGAATACAGGAACAACATACATGAAAATGCGTTACGGACGTCAGGCTCTTCAAGCAGCGACGTTACCAAAGCTTCTCTGTCCCCGGATGCCTCTGATTTCGAGCACATCACCGCAGACACCCCCTCCCGGCCCCTGTCCTCTACCAGCAACCCCTTTAAGAGCTCCAAGTGTTCGGCCACCGGCAGTTCCCCGAACAACGTGAGCGAACTTTCCCTGGCTTCCCTCACGGAGAAGATACAGAAGATGGAGGAAAACCACCACAGCACCGCGGAGGAGCTGCAGGCCACTTTGCAAGAACTGTCAGACCAGCAGCAAATGGTGCAGGAACTGACGGCCGAAAATGAGAAACTCGTGGACGAGAAGACGATTTTAGAAACGTCCTTCCATCAGCATCGGGAGAGGGCCGAGCAGCTCAGTCAGGAAAACGAGAAACTCCTAAATCTCTTACAAGAGCGAGTGAAGAATGAGGAGCCCAACACGCAAGAAGGAAAGCTCCTTGAGCTGGAGCAGAAGTGCGCAGAAATTCTTGACCAGGGTCGCTTTGAAAGAGAGAAGTTGCTCAACATTCAGCAGCAGCTGACCTGTAGCTTACGGAAGGTTGAGGAAGAAAACCAAGGCGCTTTAGAAATGATTAAACACCTGAAGGAAGAAAACGAAAAACTGAATGGGTTTCTGGACCTGGAACGGCGTAACAACGGCGTAATGGCCCAAAGTCTGGAAGAGTGTAAAGCCACGCTCGAAGGGCTGCAGATGGAACATGGGTCGATGAAGGCTCATTTGGAGAATGAGAAGCAGAAAGCTACGGAGACCAGCCCCATGGGGCACACGGCAGAGGGTCGTGAGGTTCAAGAAATGCTGAGAGTCGCTCAAGCTGAGAAAGATCAGCTGGAGCTGTCTTGCACCGAGCTCAAGCAAGAATTAGTGAAGGCCCATGGTGAAATTAAACATGTTTCGAGCCTCCTGGCCAAGGTAAGGAGGTACCTCTGTGCCCGTGTTTGCCCATCCTTCTTAGCCTTCCCGTCTTTGACCTTTAGATTCACAGAGCGCCGAGAATCCTTAGCTCAACGAATTTCATTCACGAATCCAGCGTTCCATCTCCAAGATCTGTTCCACTGCAGACAGATCGGGGATACAAAAATGAAACACCCCAATTTCTGACCATAGGCAGTTCAAAGTGTAGCGGGGATATAGTGAATCAAATGAGTGAATACGATGCAGGGAGAAAGAGTATCATAGAGGACAGCTCAGAGTCCCGTGCCAAGGAGGAACACCTAGAATAATAGGGGACTAAACGAAGGTAGTGCAGGAGGGCTTGTTGGAAGAGGTCGCAAATAAGCTGAGTCTTAACTGGCTCAGAATGAGAGAGAGTTACCCAGATCAGTTAGCATGCTTTGGGCTGCTGACCGCTAACGAGAGAATTAAAATCATCCCTAATTTCCCTACCAAGTAATAATATAACCACTATTTTGGTGTTTTCTTTCAGATTTATATGTGTGTGTGTGTGTGTGTGTGTCCCACGAGTTAAAAAAAAAATTTTAGGGGTGCCTGGGTGGCTCAGTCGGTTGGGAGTTTGACTCTTGGTTTCAGCTTGGGTCATGGTCTCAGGGTTGTGGGACTGAGCCTCACATAACTCTCCCCATTCAGCGGAGAGTCTGCTGGGGATTCTCTCTCTCGCTTCTTCTTCTGTTACTCCCCCTACATGTGCACACGTGCTCTCTCTCTCAAATATAAATAAGTGAATCTTTTAAAAAAATTTTTAGGCTAATCTTGTACATACTTTTTTTTAATTTAATATTTTCTGAGAATATTCTCCTCATTTACTCTTTGAAACATGATTTTAGGGCCAGACAGTATTCTCTTATATAAATATTTCATATGTACTGGTCGCCTGTTTGTTGAACATTTATATTCTTTTCCCGTCTTTTGATATTGTAAAGACATTTTTGTATATCCCTCTGATCATTTCCGTAGGAAAAATTCCTAAACATTGGCTTACGGTGTCAGAGGATGACCATTTTAAAGGCACTCGATACCTTCAGCCAGTTTGCCCCCCAGAAATACCATCCTGGTTTGTTCCCACCAGCCGATCCATGAGGGTGTCTGTTTTCCTGAACCCGTGCCAGGGCTTGGTATTGAGTCGCTGGGTCATTCACATCTGGGCTTCATTGCCTCTCTTCTCCTCCCCTTCTTCACTGGGAAAGATCTTCCCCAACCCCCACTGAAATTAAATGATCACAATTTCATTTTTAAAAAATAATCCTTTAATCAGTCTGGAACTTGGTCACATGATGAAGATTGCTGGTAATTCTGTGACATTCTGCTGGCTAAGAGCGATGCCAGGAAGGTATGGACAGGTGGCTTCCTGTTTCCCTTTCCCTCCAGGCTCTGGGGCTGTGATGTTAGGGCTTCCCAGGTGACAGAGATTGAAGCCACTCCCTACCTTGGTTGTCACTGTTTTAAGAGACAAGTTGTGCCAGGAGCTCACAGGGGGATTTTTTTCTCTATGGCTTCATCTGCCTTCAGATTAGTCTGTTGCAACTGGATTGTGGCATTGGGCTGTCTGACGATCTGAGCGTTAGGTAGCGTTAGGAGTTTTTTTAATCACTGTCGGTGTTCTAAACTTACAGCATCTTATCGAAAGTATGGAAGCAATCCTGTTAGAAGGTACTAGCCAGGTGCCCATTTTGAAGTTTAAGGTGGTAATTATAGCTTTACATTAAGTTATAATGTCTGTGGGATGGGTTCCCCTCCATCACTGTTGCAAAAAGCTTGACCTCCCGGGTGACCTTCTTGAAGTCCCCCAACTCAGTCCTTCATCTATCTCTTTGTATTTTGATTGACATTACATTGAATGTATGTGTCACCAAGAAGTCATTTAGTATCTCAACACAGTAGCTTTACTTTTTTTGGTCATGAAATTATGTATTCATTACAGAAGGTTTAGAAACTACAGAAACCTATAAAGAAGAAAATTAATATTACCTTTGACCCCACCACTTGGAGAAAAACGCAGCTGGCATTTTGCTGTATGTCTTTTCAGATGTTTCCTCAGTGTATGCACGTTCAGGCATGCATACAAACTTGTATCAACATAGTTAAAATATCTAATCTTCTTATTCAGAAGGATAAAGTATGTCACTCCACATTCCTTGAATAAAGACCCGGCTGGATTAGTTTATCAATTCTGCTGTTAAATCTATTTGATTAGTTTGTTTCTGCTTTTATCTTTATTACTCCTATCATTCTGCTTTTATACATTTCCTTGGTTTCTTCTTAGTATTTTGAGTAAAATTCTTTAAGTCTGTCATTTCTTGGTTGATAATGAAAGCATTTAAAGGTATGAATTTGCCCTTTATTATATAAGCTTTAGCTACATGAAGACAATAAAATTTAGCATTTTCTGGGACATACTAAGTCTTATTTGGAGAAAAAGGAAAAAGGTTTGCATTCTCTGTGGAGTACAAGGTACAGCATGTATGTTTTAAACCAAGCTGTTATATTATTCATATATTCCATATTTTTATATTACTTGCTGATTAGAATGATCAAACATTGGTCAGTAGCATGAAAGAGCTCTAGCTGGTATTCTGAGGTAAGAGTGTGTGAAGCACCATGTCACATAGGAGTTTCTTTTATATGTATTGAGATCCTAGGTCTGTAATTTTGTGCTTTTTTTTTTTTTTTTGAGATTTTATTTCTTTATCTAAGAGAGAGAGCATGAGCCAGGGAGAGGGGCAGAAGGAGGGGGAGAAGCAGATTCCCCACTGAGCTGGGAGCTTGACTTGGGCCGATCCCAAGACCCCAGGGTCATGACCTGAGCCGAAGGCAGACCCTTAACCGACTGAGCCACCCAGGCGCCCCTAAGTTTGCGCTGTCTTATGTGTGCAGGGGCACCGATCTGTAATTGCAGTGGAGTTGTAAACTGTGCTAACCTTCCTGTCCTTTTCTGTTACCTTTGAAAAGGTAAAAACCCAGACTTTCTAGGCTGCCTGGAAGCTTACTGTAGAAGCCCCAATGCAGGATATCAACTAATCCACCAGCAACCATGAATTCAAGTTATAAGATGTAAGAGACTCATGCCCCAAAGAAACAGGAACACTTTCAGCACAAGACCATCATGAAGGATGGGAAGGTGGTGGATTGGTAGGTGGAAAGCTTGGGTATTCCTGACTTAGCTAATGGTTCAGTCTATGACCTTGGGCAGGCCCCTCTCTGCTGCACAGTGCTGAATAGAGGTGTAGTGGTGGAGGGACCTTGGCCTTGTTTAAAGGGAGTGCCTTCAACATTTCATCAAGGATGTCTGTTGTAAGCACTTGTTGTGTACCTTTTATTGAGTGATACAAGTATTTTGCTTGCTTCTTTTTTTTTTTTTTAAAAAGGTTGGAGATTGAATTTTTTCTACATCTACTGTAGATCTTATATATCTGCCATGATCTTAGAGTAGTTTTTATGTGATCACGGTCGTTTCTCTACTTGTTAATGAGATAAATTACAATAACAGATTTTCTAAGGTAGTCTAGTGTTAAATCATCTGTGCATTCCTGGGGTAAATCCTAATTTTTAGGTTCTCAATAGCCTCGCCAGACATTTTTGTATAGAACTTTCGTGTTTAACTGCCTTAAGCAGATGTCAAGGTAAGTGTCCTGTTCATCACCAAGCAGTTTTCTTGGTGATAAACAACTTCTACTCGAACTCTTCATTCATCCACTCTAATTCTTGGCAAAATATGAATATTATGAGAAATAACAAAATCACATATTTACAGAGAGTGAAAAGCAATACCAAACCATCCTATGATCTGATAGATGTAGTAAGTCCATATAAGATTCCAGTTTGGCTAAATTACATAAATGAGTCAGATACTGTGAGAAGAGCCTCTGAAAAGCCTTAAAATTTACCTCTTTGGGGGGGGTACAAGATGGATCTGTTCCCCACAGTAAATGGAAATTGGTAGGACATTTACAATCATTGTGATTATTTTGGAGGCTTTTTATTCCTCTCCTTTCTTTGTCTTCAGCTAGTATCTCCATTCTTGTCAGCTTCTCTAATCTCCAACACAGAAATTTTGCTGGCAGCTTCCTGGGTGATTATAAAATGTGCCACCGTACGACTTTGAGGAAGGGTCTCCTTTCCAGAGTCCTGATTGCTCAGCCTCCTGTAAGCCTCTCATACGGCTGCCCCAGCCAGCGGCAAGGAGCATGTCGTTGCGTGAGATTCTTGGTTTTCTGGACAATAATGCAATCCAGGTTTATGATTTCCTGACGTTCAAATTTTCAGTTGTTTCGGGATCTTGATTTCAAGTTAGAATGTTTTTACAACATTCTTGAAACACAGAAGTTTTAAAAGAAAATACTGATTCTTCCCCCCCAAGGTCAAAAGCTTGCAGGTGGTATCCTTAGAAATTTAGTTCTCACTATAGAAACTCAGGTGTCTCTTCCAGAGGAGAAAGGAGATTATAAAGAAACACTTGCTGTGAGTGGTCAGGGGAAACTAGGGGTACAGTAATCCCTGTGTGACCAGTATTGGTCACCAGGCCTAACTAATTAGGGGGGGCCACTGGTCACAAGTGGCAAAACCAGGATTTGAGAGAAAGATGTGACAAAGATGGGCCCTCAGCTCTGTTGGGTCACTGTCCCCACGGCAGATGGGCTAGGATCACTCATACGAAAGCCGCCTGCCCATCCCTGGCATCTTGGAGGAGCTCAGAAGTATTGGTGAATCTATGTGGTGGAGTTCAGGAGAACGTAGGGATCACTTCCCCTTCGTGCATCATGCACTGGGTACTCCTGGGAGAGTCGGTTATGGTTGAATTGTTCAGGCTGAAGACATGGACATTTCAGTGGTCTTCAACTCAGACCGTTTCCCTATTCTCTCCAGTGCCTTTGGCTGACAACAGTTTATCAGTTCTCTGGGCAGAGCAGAGTCCTGTGACTTCATGCTGGGAAGAAGGCAATAAGAAACTTGTGTGG